GCTCCAAGCGTTTTGATAAGTTGTGGATAGGCTGTCCACTCTCGTCACGTATAGTTTCACTAACACCAGGTCTCCTGCTGCCCGTTTCCCGTATAAGACGGAATAACTCACGATGGTTACCAAGGGCAGCGGCCATTTCCATCGCTGTTGCACGACGAGACCACCAGGATTCGCGGTCTCTCTTCAGGCTAGCACGGAGTTTTGCCCGGAGCTCTTTTCGAGTTTCATTGTGTTCGCTTCCAGCCGGAATATGCCGGCGAGCATCTATAAGTTCCAGAGACTGTGAAGAGACCCAATGTTCATGTTGGCGATTAGACATACCACATGAGGATTTGCCTGCTGCTAGTAAGGCTTGTTGCATATGAGACCAGTGAGCTTCAATTGCATCAAGTGAGCGTTTATCCAACTCGTATGACAGCGTAATTTGATAGGCGTTCAGAACAGCTGGCTTCACCAGTCTGCCGGTGTCAATGCGCTCACAACATCGTCGCGGACGTCCGCCAAAGCGCATCCGCAGGTCAGCACATACAAGTGCATGATCGGTGTCAACACCTGTGCTCCAAATCGAGCGACAGTTCTGGATGCAGCCTCTCCAGCGGTAACTGATAGCAATGTGATCGATTTGCGTCCATAGCTGGTTCGAGGCTGGTGGGCGCCAAGTCACCCTCCGGCGGGTGCTGTGTCGGAAATTAGTGCTTGCAAGAAATAAGCGAGCATCCTCACACAGATGAATTAACCGCTCACCGTTATCATTACGGGAGCCTATACCATGTTGGCCGCCCAGATGCAGCTCATCTGTGGATAATTTTCCAACTTGAGCGTTCAGATCCTACGTTCAGATTCCTACGAACAATCCGCCCACAGCATACTGGCCATGCAACAAATGGCATTTCGCGCACTTTTGTCCATCCAAACGTCATATTTGTCAAACGTGCCATAAGCGTAGGCATAAAGAGAAATTCTGCAGTTAGGTCCGGCCGAAGAACGTGAAGAAGTCTTATCGAAAAGGGAAATATAGGAAGGACGGCGCAGAGACTCTGTCCATAGTTGCCGCATTCCAAAGTAAGTGCAAACAGACGACGATTTAGCAGCGTGTTGATAAATGGGATCCCAACGAAACTGCAAGCTGGTACGGTCTCGGACAGCACCATTAGTTCCAGGAGCACATGGAATCACATAAAGAGACCAAAGATGATCGAGTCTCAGAAAGTTGCACATAACGCATCCGGCGGTGTGTTAAACTTAGTGGGCGAACTTACTTGCAAGATTACTCTCAAATGTGTGGAAGAGTCGGAAACGTGCTAACCTTTCAGACCGGCCGAATTTGAATCTTCTTGGTCTCGACTGGATTAAAACGTTGAAACTCCTCGATGTTCCCTTGAATCAGATCTACAACCGAGTTCAAGTAACTTCAAACACATCACCAAAGTCCGTCGAAGACACGACACATTCGCTGAAGCGAAAATTTGCCTCCGTCTTTCAGGATGGCTTGGGCCATCGTAAGAAATATAAGGCAACGTTGAGCTTGCGACCAGGTGCTAAACCAGTGTTCAAGTCTAAAAGACTGGTATCATGTGCAGCCATTTCAGCTGCTGATCAAGCACTCGATCGACTAGAACGAGCCGGAGTCAGCACAGCCGTCAACTACTTATCATGGGCTGCACTTATGATCACAGTGAAGGCAAATGGCAAGGTACGTGTCGGCGCTGACTTCTTAACTGGTCTTAACGCCGCGCTAGACGACCACCAGTACCCATTACTCGTACCGGAAGATATCATTGCAAAACTGAATGGTGATAAGTGCCCTGCTAAGCTTGATCTGTCCGATGCCTAGCTTCAAGTGGATGTTGAGGAAGTCTCGAGGGAGTTGTTGGCGATCAACACATCGTGAGCTATTCCAAAACAACCACTTGTAAAAAACGGCGTCAGCCATTTTCCAACAGGTGATGGGTACCAGGCCAGCGGGCGGTACTAGGTCCAATGCATTTCTGGATGATATAAAGTGATGGGTCGAACACCGGAAGAGCAGTTTAACCGCCTGGATGAAATGCTTGGAGGTATAAAGTCGTACGGTTTCCGGATCCGTAAGGAGAATGGCACATTTTTCACGCGGATCATCAAATGCCTCGGTTTTACCCTTGTAAAAGATGGACGTCGAACAGATACGGAAAACGTAAAAGCCATTAGAAAATGCCACCACCAACAGATCTACCGTCCATGAGTCTTTTTGTGGGCTCATCAGACACTATAGCGCATTCTTGTCTGAGATGCACTGCCTGCGTGCCCGGCTAAACAAGCCACTAGCCAAAGGCCAGACTTGGAACTGGACATCCGAATACCAGAATACCTTCGAACGAGTCAAAATATTGCTCTCCACAAACTTGCTGTTGACTCATTTTGATCTCTCCAAAGCGATTGTCCAAACCACAGATGCATCAAGCCATGGGATTGGCGCAGTAATTTTACACACGCACTATAAATGATCTCAGAAAGCAGAACACTTACGAAAACCGAGAGGAATCACAGCCAGATCAAAAAAGAAACATGGGTCAGAGTGTAAGCGGTCAAGCAATTTCACAAAATGCTATACGGCCGCGGCTTCAAGCTTCTGACAGACCACAAGCTCGTGCTGCCTATCCTTGGTTCGATAAAGGGCATCCCGGCCTACACAGTCAACCTGCAACATCGCTGGGCTCTTACCTAAATGGGGTAGGATTTCTAGACCCACTACCAGTCGACAATATTTATTGGTCAAGGGGACGCATTGTCGCGCCAAATTGATGTCCACCAGTAAGAAATTGAGGGCACAATCATTGCCTTGGTTGAGCTCGAACCTGACGTCAACTATCTGGTAAGTGATGCATTGCACGATCTACCAGTTACCGCAGAAGCTGTAAGCACCGAAACACTTTGGGACCCAGTACGCAAAGTTACATAGTTTCACAAAACAAGCAGGCCACGTTCATGTTCATTTGTGGAGTTGCAACAGTACTTCCAGAGGAGACATTAGCTCTCTATTGTGAACGACTGCATACTATTTTCGGAGTGGTCATCCCCAAGACACTCCAGGAGCGCCTTATTCGGTAGCTGCACGCCAGGCATCCTGGGACCAATCGGATGAAGGCACTTTCCCGCAGTTATGTATTCTGGCCCTTTATGGATAAACAGCTAGAACAAATAGCTAAACGCTGCCAAAAGTGCGACAATGTCTTGAAAACGCCAAAAAAGGCAGAGCTCTGTTCATGGGTGATAGTTACTAAGCCATGGTGCCGCATCCATGTCGACTTCGCAGGACCGATCAGCGGCAGAAGTTGCTTCATTGTAGTCGACTCATACAGCAAGTGGCCTGAAATATTTCGCATGGATAGCACAACCACCAATGCCACTGTATCAAAATTGCGCCGAAGCTTTAGCAGATTCGGCTGTCCAGAGACGGACAACGGCAACTTTTACGGAGTTATGCAATAAAATGCACCCTCGCCGCCGTTTAACCCACAGGCGAATGGCCAGACAGAAAAGTTTGTCGGGCTTGTCACAAACCAGAAAAAGGACGTATAGCGGAGGGGGTTGAGCGGTTCATTTTCCTCTACCGATCAACACCGAAGCCACAAGCTCCGGACGAATTTTCTCCAGCACAGACTATGGTGAGCCGGAAGCTCTGCATGCTTTTCGACGCCATATGACAGCGCTCGGTATCCTCTGTTTGTGAAAGAAACCGCAGAATAGAACAGGAGTTTAACCGGCGGCAGTGAGCAAAGAAAAAATCGTTCACGTTTGGACAGAAAGTGCTAGTAGGTGACTATCGTGAAGGACACGTGAAGTGGACGTCTGGGACGGTCAAAAGCAAACGCGGAAATGTCATGTATGACGTGATCGTGGGCGCACATATCTGGACACGGCATGCAAGCCAGTTACGGCCAACATTGTCCCAATCATAACAAATAAGGCTTACTGACCTCGCATTTGGTGGAAAGTTTCAATTTGCCGAAGGAAGCCGTGGACAACTGCTCAGTCGAGCAAGGAATCTAGACCACGGACATCGGAACCGTCCTCGGGCACTTTCGCCAAGGAGATGGACCGACAGGCAGAGAAAACCGTCACGAAGACTGTAAATTAATCCTAGGCTTTCATCGTATACCTTGGACGATATCTCAGAGGTGCAGGTGTCCGAGAGAAAGTAAGATTTGACTGGAAAAGCCATTACTTTAGCGATTAATCGAATGTTTTATCATTGGCATGTAGAGAACAGAAGGAAGAACCCTTTGTCAGCTCCATCGCCTCCCGTTCGTCAGAGGGAATAAGGTGGACATTGCAAGTCGCTATCAATAGAACCGCTGCATTGACATAAGAGGCGACAAGATCCGAGTATAGTCAACTGGTAAGAATATAATCGATGTTCGAAAGATTCCTCCGACTGCGCAGAGTTAGAATGTTCCACTCGTTCACTACTTTAGTAGACAGTGACGGAACCCAAGTCTCCTTTGTTTAAACAATATCCAATGGTGACCGCGAGTCGAACTGAAAGAATGGAGCGGAAAGAAATTTTGCAGTCCAGCTCCAAGTTCACATTTAACGATACGTCGTGTGAAAATCACATTATTACCGATTGTCGCATCGATTTCGAACGTACTGGAATGTGCTAAGTTCCGCACGTAAACACAAAGCACCTGACATCACAGTAAAATCTATGATGAACTACTAGCCTTGGTAGTTGATCTCCCAATTTCAGAAGTCGGTCAGTAAGAAACTTTAAATACAGTCAAAATCGCGGCAGCTATGTAGTATTCCTTCGGTCCGGCGTTTCAAGATCTTCCGTGTCCAACTAGTGCGGCAAGCTGCAATGCAAAATAAATACCTCCTAGGCGGCTGTACACTCGAGCCGCCTAGTAAGATGCCGATGTAAAGGTGGCAGTTAAGAAAGCACGGAAGAGAGAAGGGAAAGTGCCGGAGTGGAATAGGAAGGTAAGGATAGCAGGAAGCGAAACCGATCGATCTCTTACCTGTTAACGCGTTATCTTGACGCCTGCGGACCGGCTACATTATCCACCCCTCTTAGCAGGCGCAGTCCTCAGCGCCCATAATGGCCCATACCGGCAACAATTTATATACCTGCAGGAGGAAGTGAGCGTGGTATATTAGGCTCAGGAGGTTCAACGACAAGTGGCACGATAAAAGAAAGTTAGCTATTACCTCAAGGGCTACAATCTAGCTTTGTGAACTGTTGTCGGGAACTGGCAGAGTCGCCTAATATGTAACATTCCTTCGGTCCGGCGTTCCAAAATCTTCCGTGTTCAAGTAGTGCGGCAAGCTGCAATGCAAAATAAATACCTAGGCGGCTGAATACTCGAGCCGCCTAGTAAGAAGCCGATGTAAAGGTGGCAGCTAAAGAAGCACGGAAGAGGGAAGGGAAAGTGCCGGAGTGGAATAGGAAGGTAAACAGGAAGCGGTTCCTTCAGCAGACACTAAATATTGTCAACGTAATCACAACGGATGTTCACCGCCTACCTCGTCCAGCAAGTTATACAGGAACATCCCCCCGTCTCCTGAAAGTGACATTCCTCACCGCTAGCATGGCAACCGATGCACTCACCATCTGGTATGCTAATAAAAGGCGAGCACCACCAGATATCCGTCTGCGTCCAGATGGGCACCCGGTGCCGAGGCGCGCAGCTTCCCACAGACCCCTGGTAGCAGCAGCAGCAAACTCGGTACCGACACACTCTGACCAGATCGTCATCAGACGGCCCACTACCGAACCACCTGCCTCACTGCCTGGAGTAATTTACTCACCTACACATTCCAACCTTCAGACTTTCAACGACCCAGCCGCCAGCACCCATCTGTGCTCCGACGACCCACACCTTGTTTCCCCAACTACAAACCTTAGCGGCTCCACCCCTCTAAACCAAAAAATCGGTGCACTGCCGGTCATCTGCTGACCGGCAGCACCCTAGTTACTCCCGCGCTCATCACCCAAACGGGCCTCACCTGTATCTACACGAACGCACAGGGCCTCATATCCAAACTTCCGGAACTCCAATCCCGACTTCTATCAACACCAGCGGACCTAATAGCCATAACGGAAACGTGGCTCTCCGGCGACATAACCGACGGTGAAATCCAACTTCGTCACGTCAGTTCTCCGCTCTGACCGCGCAACCCCAGGTGGCGGTGTCGCACTGTACTACGACATCTCCCTCAGCTGCAGCATGTTAACAAACACTGCCCTCCAGTCTCCAGACACCATGTGGTGCGAGGTCGTACTAACCGCCAAACACTCCAGCTGTCTTGGTATCATTTACCGCCCCCCAAACAACTCTCCCGAGAAGGATGCACGACTACTGCACGACGTCCACCTTATGTTATCCCACGAGCACACACTTTCTTATCATGGGTGACTTCAACCTGCCCCGTCTATTTCACTCTGTCCCGTCTACTAACTCCTTTGCATCAGGCCTCATTGATCTTCTTCACACGGCCCCGTTGTACAACCACACGTATCAGCCGACCAGATTCCGATCCAACAACCAACCGTCCCTGCTAGATCTCGTCCTCACTAACGAAGAACTGATGGTTGAGCACGTTGAGTATGATGCCCCTTTGGGGCTTAGCGACCACTGCATCCTCCGTTTCGATTTTATATGCTTCGCCGAAAAACTCGTCAGCACGCCAACTTATACCAAACGCTGGACTGATTACGGAAAGTTAAACCTTCTCATTTCCGCTAACAACTGGTCACCCGAGCCCCAATCGAGTGCCGACAGCGTGTGCTCAAGCTTTTGCCTTACCCTACGTGAACTCTGCTCCACTACGACGACGTGCAAAGAAGTTTCCATAGGGAAGAGACGCCCAGCACTCATCCGAAGTCGTACACGGAAATGGATTGCCTCCAGGAACACGGCATGGAGAAACTATCGCTCCCATCCAACGGCCACTCAGTGGGAATATTACTGATCCATCAGTAACCAATGCGTCCGTCTTGTACGAGAAGATAAGAGTGAGCATCAGCGTCAACTTATGCGTAAATTTTCATCCAATCCCAAAGTCTTGTATAGTCACGTCAATAGTCTTCGACAAGTCAAGCACGGTGTCACCGCATTGACGACCCCCACAGGGCTCACGAAATCAGCTAACGAGGCAGCAGAAGTCCTGTGCCAGCAGTACGCATCCACATTCTCCGTTCCATCAATGCACACAAAGACGGTACCTTCTTCGGTTTCACTCTCAACTTCCCTGACGACTGTTCATTTCACTCCGGAGTAGGTCCTGGCGAAACTCAAATCCCTGCGGCTAACGGCCTCTCCTGGCGCTGATGGTTTCCACCCACGGCTCTTGCGAGCGTGCGCTGTAGCTCTAGCTTTACCCCTAGCGGAGCTGTTCATCCACTTCTTCTTGCTAGGCAAAGTTCCCAATGATTGGAAATGTGGGACTATTACACCAATCTACAAAGGCGGTGCTCGCAAAGATCGGGCCAATTACCGACCGATAACTCTCCGATCTACGATCTCCAAAGTGATGGAATCGATCGTCGTAGATGCTTTAATGGACCACATGGAGGCCCAGAAACTGCTCTCTGATTGCCAGCACGGTTTCCGGCGTCAACGGTCTTGCCTGAGTAACCTGCTACTTGCCAGGGACAGCTGGACGACTGCAGCCGACTCTGGCCAAGAAACGCATGTTATCTTTCTGGATTTCGCCAAAGCCTTCGACAAGGTCGACCACAAGATTCTGCTGCGGAAACTGTCATCTTACGGCGTTTCAGGGGACTTGATGGACTGGATCCGGAACTACCTCCAAAACCGTACCTTCCAAGTACGCGTCGACGGAGCGTTGTCTCCCCGCATCCTTGCCACAAGCGGAGTTCCACAGGGGTCTGTTCTCGGACCGCACTTCTTCCTAGCCTTCATTGACGACGTCACACCGCAAGTGGAGTCTTCGCTGCTACTATACGCGGATGACGCGAAGCTGTGGCGCACAATTAACCTTCCGGACGATGCCCACGTACTTCAGACGGACCTCGACCGTCTACATCAGTGGTCCATAGAAAATAACCTTCCATTTAACGCTTCGAAATATCGCGTCCTTTCTACCCGCCCTTCCGCTTTTTCTCCTGTATATTACCTGGGAGCGTCTATCCTCCAGATCTCTTCAGCCGAAAGAGACTTGGGTATCATTACCCAGACGAGTCTTTCCGTATCCGCTTCCTGCCGGAGAGCAGCTGCTGCTGCTAACCGCATGGTGGGATTGCTGAAACGAGCCTTCGGTCAAATTGACCACAGCAATTTCCGCCTCCTCCTTAACGCTTTTCTTCGACCCCACTTGGAATTCGCTATTCAGGCTTGGAGCCCTTGGTTATTGAAGGATCAACGCATACTCGAAGCCCCACAACGTCGAGCAACCAAACTGGTCCGAGGTCTCAAGCACCTAGATTATCCACAACGACTTCAGTGCCTGGGCCTCGACTCGCTTAAGTACCGACGTCTACGGGGCGACCTGATCCTCGTATTCATGATCTTATCCAACCCTGGACAACCCTGTCGCCACCTACTCACACTGCACCAATCGGGCTCCCACCTACGTGGCCACCCACTGAGGCTCACACATCAGCACAGTCGGCTGAACTGCAGACGACACTACTTCGCTTTGCGAACCTGCCGACCGTGGAATGCTCTGCATGCCGATTTAGTCTTGGCACCCACTGTGGCGGACTAAGACGCGCTTGGACTGTCATCTGGCCGAGCTACACCGCGATATTCCCTAAGTTAACTACATTCTACTGGATGGAATTTATTCCTTATTTTTCTTCCACCTACTTCCTTTCCAAAGCCATTTCGGAGGGCGTGGTGCGATGTCACGCTTTGAGCCGGCGTGCATTCTGTTTAAATGCCACATAAGGCCGATGAAGGTACGGCTAACACGCGAGTCCAACCCGCTATAAGGTTGCTTGGCCTTTCATTAGACTCGACCCGTACTCTTTTTACCCTATGGGTTACGTAAAGCTCGAGCTTTTATTCCCATTAAATACAATGTTCCAATGACCTCTAACCTGTTAACGTACGACCTTGACGCTCACGGGTTGACGGCAGTTTTACAATCTTTCTTGACGGCGATTAATACGTTACTTTTCAAGGTCATAATCATTCTGCTTTTTCCTTAGGTCATGCTAGAATTTTTTTAAAACAGTAAGCTATCTATTACGGAATTGCTTTTGGCGAGATTAGAATAGATGCCAGTGTTAAACAATTCCAGATGAAAGCCAGAAATTGCAGTATTATCTTTAATGGAGGGGAAAGCGTTTTGCCTTTAACAAAGTCACGCTACTCGGATAAGAAATATCCAAGGGCTTTATGAACACTGGCTCAGAGAGAAGTTCACCTCTGTCCCTGTTGATGCCACAAATGTCTCTAACGCATAACAGTGTCTAGCGAGGATGCTAACTTATCGTTCTAAATGGATCTCGAACTTTCCAATAAAATCTTTCCATTGACACAAAATGAAATCTACCCACTAAGTGAAACGGTATTTAACTGTTTTGAAAACCTCTAAAAGGTGTTAGAGGGAAGTAAATTTGTGACTATCACAACCGGTGTATCACTGGTATTCGAACCGGATGCACCTGACGTCGCAATTCCCGCTACTTGGAATCAAAATGGTAGACCAGTAGCATGCTTCTCCCAAACGCTATCTCACAACGAAAAAACCACTTCTCTGTCGAAAACGGGGCCTACGCTATAGTCGAAGCAATGTGTAAATGGCGCCAGTTCCTTCTTGGCAATCTATGTACGATAGTGACTGACCAGCGGTCAGTTACCTTCATGCATGGCGCAATAACAAGGGAATAATTAGGAATGACAAATGCCTACGTTAGCGTTTGGAATACTCAAGTTATCAGTTCGCAAGTTCAAGTTCAAGTTCAAGTTCAAGCGGTACTGGAACGATAGGATAGATCCCGTGAGTGTTCCTTCTTCGACGGGTCGTTGAACCAGGAGTTGGCGATCTTTGAAATACTGATGGACCTAAAACAAAGACCGCATCACACCCTGTCCAACCAATTAATGCCCACGTATCCTGTCCTAGCAGTCCCTGCTGGGTCGGTTACGTGAAGAAAGAAAGAGAAAAAAGTAAACGCAGGAGGCAAAAGAGAAAGTGGTAAGAGCTAAGCAAATGGAATACCAAGATATGTGAGTCAATAAAAAAAACTGAAAAATGAAGGTGAGTCAGCTAGGAAAAAGGAAAGGTTTGCTGTTGCCACCCAA